GATACCCTAATTTGGGAGCATCATAAATTGAGCTCTACATATCCAATGGAGATGATCTAGTACTCAAAAGAAAGCTAGGAGGATGCTCTATAATTCTAATTTGTAGGAAAACTCAAATGAAGCTTGTATCACCATGAAAAATGAGCTTGAAAGTAGGTACTTCAAACTGAATTTCTCTACTTAGAGAAATTTCTAAGTGTAGAAATGTCATAATCTCCTTTTTCCAAACTTTGACTTCTCATATATCCTAAACCATGAATCTTTTGGAAATTATTTTTTCCACAAACTTCTAGTTCATGATGTCCCCCTTTAAATTGATAGCTAGTTTGCCTTTCATTGGATCAAAAATGAGAAAGTTATGGAAGTTGCAAGATGACTAGAATTAGGGTTTTTCACACTTAGAAAAATTTCTATCAAAACCTTAATTTAGTCAAACTCTTGATTTTATGTTTCTCCTTGATTCTTCTTTTTCCAAATTTATGAAATCATTTGAAAACAAGTATCATGCCCTTGATTGGCCTTGAAATTCAAGATCTTGACCTAATTGAATCACAATTGACTTTTGTTGACCCGATGAAACCCTAAGACCATTTCCACTAGTTGAGGCTCTTGTAATGGCTTATGATGACACATGATCCATGTAGAGTACCCTCAAGGTGTGTGTTGAGCTTTGTAACCCTGTCTTACCCAAAGAAATAACCACAAATCTCCTTTTGAATCAAATTGCTAGACAGTTATCCATGAGAGAGAAGGTGGAGAATCAATACTTGTGTTCTTGATTCAAGTGGTTGAGTGACATGCCTTGATGATTATGGATACCTTATGGATTGATATTGCCACAAAGTTGAGCTTAAGCTCTTGATTAAGCTTTAAAGATGAAGCTCTTCTCTTGATTGTTGGATAAGATACCTTGATTCCCTGTCTAAGACCAATGCTAGGTGCAAATGCTAATGCAAATGACAATGATATGGGGGGTTAAAGGTTAGGGTGAAATAGAGGGTGTGGCAGTCACATGTTTAGTTTGATAGAAAACAATGTTAAGAACAATTTAAAGACAATAATGAAGAGCATGTTAGGCAATGATTCGTTGATATAACTTGTCAGATGTGCATATATAATGTGTTATATTGTTCAATAAGAGGTTAGAAAGTAATATTATGGTGTATCTATACAACGTCATAAACATATACAATAAAGCAAGGGGACAAATTTCTAAGCCTCACATATGACTTTAATGCATGCCTGGTTTTATTATGAATATCATCTATAATTGTAGCTATTTATCTCTAAAGTAGACAATCTAGTGAATATCTATGTCCTAGTATTTTCAATCACTTTTATCATGAAATCCACTTATTATGGGATCTCTCACAACAACAATCTATCATATTTTTCTAAGTTGATCATTCATAGAAACAAATTTATAACAATTTAATACATGATAAAACAAAGCACTAACAACACATCATTTAACACAAACGACTATTTTATATCAACTTCACATTGCTCAACATAAAAAGGTTTTAGCTAATGATGAGCTAAGTACATACATTAACACTGGATCCTAAGTTAAGTCTTCTTAAAATTATTAATCGCCAAGAGACCAATTCTGTCACCTCGGATATTGGTACATACACTTGAAATGATGAGAAGAAGATGATCTCCACCATGTTCAAATCACTTTTTTCATTGAATTTCTCTAAGTGTTTCTTTCTCTAAAAATGAAGAACCTCTATTTTCCATTTCCTTTTAGAGGTCCTTTTATAGTCAGGTCCATCTAGGGTTTTGGTGTTGTCTTGGATCATGGGCTTGTGGATATTTATAAATTTAGGCCCAACAGAATCAACATAATTCCCTCAAATTCTTCCATTTCGTACTAATGCAGATTCATGTACAATCATTATGTGGGATACAAAGTGTCTTATGGCAGGCTAGTGGCGCAGAGAATCAGGCAGCAGTTTTGTCTTTTGGAGTAGGCAGATGAACGTAGCACTATAGGGGATATACTATGGTGCATAGTTTTGTCCTCTAGTGCCTTGTTCTTATCCATTTGAAAATTGAACCAAATGCCTTTCATTTTGCAGTTTGTTGCACGTAAGCCCTACAAATATGAATGTTCACTCTCTGTATCTCCCATTGTATCCTTTGCTACACAATATTCTCTTCTAAAAGGTGGATGATAAAGTGTTATCTAGAAGTGTTGTACCAGACCTCATCAGAAGTTAAATCTACTCAAATGACAAATGCATAGAAACTAACAAAAGAGAGCACCTATTTTACTCTTTGCAAACTACTCAAAACAGAAAAATACATTAAAATAAACTATCAAACAACTAAATTAAAATTAAAATATCAAGTACTAAAGTTTATAATAACTCAAAAAACATGAGTTATGACACGCCTCCTATTAAGGTCACCATCAACTGAGTGACTCTCCTTTTATTTGGAAGGTTGTCTTCAGCTAAGAGACTCGCCCCAAGCCACAGACAAAACTTGAAACAACTCTTATAACAATTCTCCGATTTATAAACCCTCTTGCTTAAGGGACTGTATAGTGTTATATTTGTGAAAGTCCCAAATAATGCCAATGCCAGGGTCCTCACCTAGTAAGTCATCGTCATGAGCTACCTTTACAGAGTATGGAGTCTTGCCTTTAGGATAGATGGCTTGTATAATATCTTTATTTCCCACTAGTCTTACAAGAACGAATCATGCCACGAATCCTCTAAAAAATACGTGGTCAGCGGTCTCTCCCAATTAAGGGGGAATGATTACCTCTTCTTAGGATTCCCTAAACCATAAGCCCATGAGTCTCTATAAATATCTGACCCTTTAGGGGTAATGGATAGATCATAACTTAACCACAATTACAGATTTCACAGAGCCTTTCACCTCACATGAGTTGGCCTTTCATACCACCATAAATGATTTAAACACCATCATACTAGACATCTCTTCGTCGCGGGGCAAGCCCTATTTATTATAAACCTACTAAGGCCTGAGTATATCCTACCCTTGTAGAGATACCACACACACATATGCACATTTTAACCAACACACTTCTTAAACAAATAACAAATTAAACTTTTTTAAACATACATGCTGAAATCATTGGTTTAGTTATAATAAAAAAGATCATATTCAAACCATATACAACTATATATAAAAAAAATAAAGGGTTACATACGTATGTGGTCCCTATAAATAACTCAAAATCCGGTTTTAGTATTTATAAATATTTTCTTTAAGGAATGATTCTCCTAAAATTTTACATCCCCAATTTTGATTTATGACATCTATTTGGTCTAATGGAAGGTGATGTGGCACACCACGTGTCACAACATGTTAAAATCATACATAAATGCAACAAAAAAAACATTAGACTGTGGAGATTTCAAACTTCCCTAAATTCGTTTGAATATGGTGAGTTCACCACTTCTCATAAGGTTTGAGTTCAAGAAACTTAATTCGAATTTGTAAATCTGCTATTAACCACCACTATGATTTTTGATCATGAATTGCATCATTTGAAGCTTAAGATTGTTGGATTTTGCGATTATCGAATAAATGAATCAAACAACTCTATTAAAATTGGATTTTCAATTGACGCCTACCACTTGTTTGTTAAAATGCATGCATCTGTTTTGCAAATTTATGAGTGGCGCCAACTACTGCTACAATCCCCTTCTTTGAAAAGAAAAAAACAAGAGTCAACAACTACATTAACAAGTTGGAATTGTTGTTATTCATGGTGTTTGTTCAATGGAAACCTTGTTCAAGATTGGAATATCATAAAAACCAATTTTTATTTTATTGGGAAATTGTTGCTCAGCTATTTGTTCTGCCAAATTGAAAATGAATATGGAAACATTGATATACACTATTGGATTCTTTTACCCCAATACCCCATTTTGAAACCAATAATACCAATATACCCTATGTTGAAAAAAAAAAGCAAAAATGCCCTACATTCAGAACCTGCTCGTCCACTGAAGTGGCGAGCAGATGAAGGCAATACTTGCTGCGTAGGTGCTCACCCAATGAGATGGCGAGCACATGAAGGAGTTTTTTTTTGTTTATTTATTTATTTTATTTTTAGTTATATTTAATTATATTATTATATTAATTATATATTTAACTATATTATTATATTAATTATATATTTAATTATATTATTTTTAGTTATATTTTTAATTATATTTAATTATATTACTTTTATTTTAATTCTATTTAATTATATTACTTTTAATTTTAATTTATATTTAATTATATTACTTTTAATTTAATTATATATTATGTTATATTAAATTAATTTAATTATATTATGTTACATTAACTGGAAAAAAATGTGAATGATATAATAATTTAATTTTTCTTTCTGTCATGCATTAAAAAAGAATGACTGGTGTTCGTCCATGGAGGTGTAAAGTTGTTGCAGAGTCTCGGTCATTGAATGGTCGAGTTCAAACGTAACTTTTTTTATAAATAGACGTATTGCGCATCAGCACATATCATTTGTGTCTAGTGACCCGTGTTTTAAAAATGTATGTCCGAGCTCTTTTTTTTTATGGACAAGAAAAAAAATTAGTGTTTACCTAGATCCGCAGTGGAATTTCAGAATCGTGGTTGCAGCAATTAACACGGGGTTTCGGCAGTTGGGCAGTCGTCGCGTGGCGGTGAGAAAAATGGAGTATCATTATCCGTATATAACGCTGATTGATGCCAGCCCGGAGGGTACGTGCATGTATTACTTGGATCGTATAGAAAATGATGAAAATGTCCAATGCATGTTTTCAGCACACAGTGGCGAAGTTAACAGAGGAGTCGCAGATCCATTTGTGTTGGTTGTTGTTGTTGGTTAGCGTGTATGTTAGCTCTCTGAGTTTTATTTTTAAGTTTATGGTTGTAATTTGCTAGTATTGCTGTAATTTAAAAGTTGTCTTGAATTACAAATAAATGTTGGATCACATGGAAAACAAGTGCGAGCAAAATAAATAAAATTATCTAGACGGTCGGTTTGATAGGCCGGCAACATTTGGACATTTTCTACGCATATGACCTATTTCTCTGCAAATCCCACACCTTCTCTTTTCTTTTTTAGCGTCGCCCATCTTAGTTCTAATTCTACTACTAGTTGGACGGCCCTTTTTATTCCTTCTCATGGAATCGTCGTGGCATAGAGTAAAATCTTCATATTTTGGCCAGTTCTCCTCGTGCGGTAGTCCCAGGAAGCTTTCTTTGTAGACTTTGAATACGTTAAGTACTGTGAAGACCTCTGGAATGTGAATTGTGTAATCTTGTCGTATGCTAGAAAATGTTTCGATCACGTGGAAGCAAGGCAAGTGAAATGCTTGAAATTTTTTACAGTCACACAAACGATTCCTCAGATCAACGCTGAAAGTACCCGTTGAACGACCATCGTTTTGATTAATTTTTTCCTGCACCATGAAACAGAATCTTTCAAGATCAAATTGCATGACATTTTGTGTGTTAGCCTTGGCTACCTCATCAGCCATTCCCTTGTTACAACCATCTGTGAAAACTTTCCCTGTAGCTAGCATTTTGGTCCATTTGTGTCCTCGTTTACCAAAGAGTAAACTCATTCGATAGTATGTAGACCAGACCAAAGCAGTGATTGGAAGGTTTCTGGTTGCCTTTAGTACAGAGTTTATGGCCTCTGCCAAGTTAGATGTCATATCTCCCCAACGTTTCCCTCCATCAAATGCTCTAGCCCACTTCTCCCTAAGTATGTTGTCTATCCAATTTGAAGCCTCAATGTTTGTTCTTCTGATTTCTCCGTGATAGAAGTTAAACGTAGCCTTCGTTAATGCGTAACCTGTAATAGAAATTGTGTGAAAAACGTAATAAAAGTGTGATACAAAAATTGAGATAAGTGAAATGTATTTTGTTACCCATGTTAACAAGTTTTTGCGTAGATCCATGTCCTTAATCTCGCGCATGAAGTTCTGAGCAATGTGTCTAATGCAGTAGACATGTGAAGATGGTGGATGTTGCCATCTGTTTTCGGGATTGTTATATGCACTCTTTATTGATTCATGTCTATCAGAGATTAGGCACAAATTAGGTTGTGGTGTCACGTGTAATCTTAGGTTCCTTAGAAAAAAGCTCCATGCTTCCTTTGTTTCACCTTCAACCAATGGGAATGCTATTGGGAAAATATTTACGTTACCATCATGTGCCACCGCCATCAATAGAGTTCCTCTATACTTTCCATACAACCAAGTTCCGTTTACTTGCACAATGGGCTTACAGTAGGCGAAGCCACGTATACACGGACGAAATGCCCAAAACAGACGATGGAATATTCGTTTTCCAGAGATTTGGGGAACCATCATTTGAAATTGCAGGTAGGGTTTGCAAATCTATAATGGATCATGGAAGGTAGGTTTTCATTACCAGTATCCACTGTGGCAGGTCGTTGTAAGATGTTTCCCAATTTCCACAGAGCGACTCTATGACCTTACACTTAGTGATCCATGCTTTCCTGTAAGATATTATGTACCTGTATTTTCAAGAATATGGGCAATGATCACCTTCACCTTAAGTGAGGCGTCTCAGTTGACAAGTTCTCTGATGCTATGGATAATCATTTCTGAACCGATCTTCCTATGGTCTTGTGCCATAGACGTGGTAGTGCATGTGTGAGGCCCAGACAGCTTACCGATCACCCATTTTGAGTTTCTTTTTCTCAAGGAAGCTCTGCACTTGAAATTGTAGTCTTGCTTCTTACACTTAATTACATATCGTTCATTGTTAGATTGATAAACCCATAGTCAACACTGTGTGTTATGTGCCAATGTTGCAGAGTGAAGACGCAAGCTTCCTTGTTTTCAAACTCCATCCCAATCTCTATTTCTTCACCTAAATGGTTTGCTATGACACTTCCAAACACAGAGGTTATCTCATCATGTTCCAAATATATATTTTGCATATGTGCATGTGGGTTGTACAAACTTATTGGTTGTGCCCGGATAGGCTGCATAGACGCGACAACTATATCTTCATTGTCTTTGTCATCGTTGTCACCAAAAATATCTTACATCCTGACCTCCTAAAGATCGTCATCGCTTGCTTCTCCAACCTATTTATTTGGTATGAAAGGTTGGTTATTTTGTGTTGGTTCGTCTTCAGATGTTTGGCTCATTCCATACCGGTGTGATTGTGTCTCTTGCGTCGGAAATGCTTCGCATTGTCTAGTAGTCGGGCATACAACTCAGTTGTAGGTAACTGACCAAACATCACGTGGCACCGAAACATTGCCTCCACGTCTTCGTCGTTCCTGATCGGCGTCATTACGTAAAAAAATTGTACAGTCGTCTTCGTTAAGTATAGGATGACGATAAATTATCTCCTCAACGCATCGTGCTAATTTTTTTTCCATTCTATCTTTGAAATGGAAAAAAATAAGAACAGACATGAATTTTGAATGCGTGAGTATATGTGTTGCTGAATGAGAATCCAACGGTAGTATTTGTTGAAACAACACCATTAAAGTGGCACGTAACAATTATATTTCTCTGAGACATATTTGAAGTGTAAAATCTATGTTCTTCTTAATGTGTATGTAATATATATATATATATATATATATATATATATATATATATATATATATATATATATATATATATATATATATATATATATATATATATATATATATATATATATATATATATATATATATATATATATATATATATATATATATATATATATATATATATATATATATATATATATATATATATATATATATATATATATATATATATATATATATATATATATATATATATATATATATATATATATATATATATATATATTATATTTGTTATTCAACTATGCCTAACAATATTATTATTATTTTGTTTATACACGATGGGCCCAAAGACGGATGAATTACGATGCTAATCCTCGTTTTCATCTACAAGAATATCGAAACACATTGGACCATATGCAAGAAAAAGATGTAAGTTTGAAACCATAGAACATAGTTGTCGGTTATACTCCTTAATGGTATTATAATTTTCTTTTTTATGTGGCAGTTTATATGGAGGCCGTACTTTCAATATCTAGTGCCCAATCTTAGAGATAGCCAAATCTGGAGTGCTACAACTTTTCTTATTTGTTTCTATACCGTTGAAATGCATCAAACGGATAGGGTAAAACTCCAGTTTGGATTTGAACAACAAATCTCTTCCTCGCCAAGGTGTCTAAGGGAACACCACGCAATGACAATGAGAAAAGCCCAAAAAGTTCATTGGCAAGAGTTAAACAAGGGGGAGGTGAGAGAATGGAAACACAGAAGACATTTGATTTTGCAGGGGGACGCTGTAGTTGGTGAACGCAAATCAAGCCAAGAGTATTTAACTTGGTTTCGTGTCATTCCTTATGTGCATATTGCTCCAGAACAATTTTTGACCGACCCAAGCATGCAAGGTTCATCATCAACACAACCAACTGCCGCATCAATGCATCAGGATGTGCCACCAAACTACACATCTCAATTTGGGGGGCACGCATCTTCATCAGCTCAGCATACATACCGACACCAAACTCCATACAATCCACTACCTCTTCTTCAGAATGGGATGGTCTATGGACAATATCAGATTATTTCATAAGCAGGTTGATGGATAGGTGTTTAGTTGTCGCTGTGGCAACGGAAATCAGTTCCCTGGTTAATTCTCCCCAAGCAGTGATGTGCGCAATTTATTTTTGCGGTTGGAAAATTTCAGGGTTTATCGGTATTCAACCGTCTCGTACCTCGATTTTCTGAAGGTCGTTCGCTCTTCATCCAGTCGGGTCCAAGCCGTTTGAATAGGGGCAGCTGTTGCACCCTAAAATTTGACCAACCGGTTCTCCTACCTGGTTCGTGGTTAAATTCGTATTCGCATATCAGATGCATGACATTTCTGCACAGACAGAGGATGTCAGGGTTACAACTTGGTTTTCACCTACCGGATATTTCAGATCCAGTCTAGATAATCAGGGTTTCATTTTCAGGAAATTATGCGTTTCTCGGTGTTTTCAGCTTACATGGTGGTTTTTGGGATATTCTGATGCCCGGGGTTTACTGTTTGCTTCGACCTGGTCTCGCGCTCTCTTTTATGTTGGTTATTTGCCTCTGTTTGTTTTTTTAGGATTTAATAGTCTTTTGTAGATTTTAAATAGGTTTTATAGATTTTTCAGAATTTTAGATAGATTTCTTTTAATACTTTTTAGCTTTAATAATTTTAAATAGGTCTAAATCCTTTCTGTAGGTATTAAATAGAATTTTTAATGTGATCATTTCTTTTATTAGGATTTTTAAATAGAAATTAATGGAGTTTTTCTTTTATTTTTAATAGATATTAGTAGATAATAGATTTTTAGAACAAATCATTATAGATTTTTAGATATTAAATAGAACTTTAATAGATTTTTTAGTTTTATTAGTTTAGATTTAAATTGGAATTAATAGAGTTTTTTTTTAGGTTAATTCTCTTATTAGAGTTAATTAGGACTTAATAGAGGTTAATTAGGATTTTAATCTTATGTTTAGGGTCTTATTAGAGTTTGTTAGAATTAATTAGATTAGATTAGTCTCAATTTTCGGATTAGTTAGTTGAGTATTAACTAGTTAATTATGTTAAGTCTTTAATTAGTTGTTAATTAGGTTTATTTCATTTTAATTCAGATTTTTAGAGCTAATTTTCGTTTGGGCCCAGTTTTGTGTTTGGAGGCCCAGTTTATCATTTTTGTCCGTTTTTGTCCGTTTTTGTCCAGCCACGTGGCTATATAAGAGGCTACCCACGCGTCCCTCTCTTTTCCTTCCCAGCTCTTGCCACGTTTCAATCCACCCACTCTCTCCCTGCCAGCACGCTCACACACGTGCCTACTCCCTCTCCTTCCTCCTTCCACGCGTCCGTCTCTCACCCTTCCCCAACGACACCTGTAACCCACTCAATCCCCTCACCGCCGGCCATGCAGCCACCGGCCCGGACGCCTTCCTCCACCGCAACGGTCACCGGAAGCCGGTAATCTCGCCGGAATCTGCAAATTTCCCAGCAATCCAAGTTTCACTCCGATCTTCTCGTCTACCTTCATCCAGGCCTTCATCGGAGAATTCCTACCATCGCCGGAAAGTTCATCGGGACCTTCATACGTCTTCTCCAGAAAATCAAGATTAGATCTTCACTTTAGGTGTTCATCCAGAGATCTCCTCGCAAGAACTTCATCAAGTTCATCGCCTACACCGGCTTCACATCAGTTCGTTGGGGCTTCACCAGATCTTCTTCAAACGAGCAAGAACACTCACGTTTCTTTCATCTTCATTTGTCTTCCGTTTCCAGATTTTTGAAAGCCCTCCGTAGAAGCTTCGTCATCAACGTCGTCTTCGAGAAGAGTTCCAGGATCTTCATCTTCCAAGAGCGTTGTTGCGTATTGCTTTTCCAGATCTCCTTCAGGATTCTCGCTCAGAGCCATCTTCAGCATAGATCTTCAATCATCCCTGGAAGACCTTCAAAGCTCCCAGATCGTCTTCAGATATCGTTCGGTTTGTTGATCTTCAAGAATCCACGAAGAACTCTCCAGAAGGCTTCCAGAATTCCTCGAGCTTGCTCCATATCCAGGTGCGTTCACTTGATTCCGTTTGCCTTCTTCTTTCCGACTGCTAGGTTAGTTCTGTCTTGATTCAAGCAGATTTAGGTGGATAAGGTCGTGGTGTAGTTTGTTTTCATTTCAGAGAGAGGATTAGAGCGAGATCGATGGGTGATTTCATGAAGGTTTTGTTAGGGTTTGGGAAACGTTTGTGAAATGTGTGAGAGGTTTCTTCAGAGAATGGTCTGAGAGAGAGGTAGGGAGAGAACGGCGCATTAGGGTTGAGGTGAACAGTGAACGAATTTTGG